TAATAATAAAGAATAATAATATTTATTAAAATTAATTAGAAAAATAAAATTATTTATCAGTTGATATATTTATTTTTAATGTAGTTATATGTTGTACGTTAAAAAAATATTATAATATGACACATGTAAGTCGCACAAATAAAAAGTGTCATACCAAATATATTATAATATATATATTTTTGTAAAAAGTATTTAAAATTTCTAACTATTTTTTCTCATTAATTTTAAAATTTAAGAAAAAAATTAGCAAACACCCATGTAATACACGGGTGTTGTACTAAAATTAAACCACATATTTATACTATATATTAAATATCATACTTCTCATGGTATTGTGTTATAGATCTCGAACATTATTTTAATTTCATAGTACGACAAGTCAACTCGACTGGGCCACAATATTCCGTGTTAGTGAAATTGGTAGCTCTCATACAATAAAAGTCGAGAGTAATAATAATAAACACTATTGACTGAGGTTTATAGGCAAGTTGGAACAGATATAGGGATTACTAGCGACCACTTTCATTGTACAATTATTCCACGACACTATAATTGGTGGCAGTAAGACTGTAACAGGGTATGTTTTGGTAGAAGGATATCCCAACACATTTTTCACAAATATTTTCCATATTTTGGTAATATTTTACATGTTTGAATTACCAAACTTTATAGAGATTGTACGCTCAAAATCGTTTGAACAATATTAAATCCAAGTTATGCAATTCTTTTATGATTTTCATAAAACTCATTATTATAAATTTAGCACGCCGAGTGAGAATCGAAATAAAATTTATTGTTACAAATTTAGTACGCCGGTAGGACAATCTCTATACTTCTCATCTCTTCTCTTCGAATCATGTTGGAAGTTCATGAAAGTTCCATGCAATACACAAAGTCATCAATGGCTAGCTATGTGTGAAAGTTCCATTCAAGCCCACCATTCAAGAAGTCTTCAAATGATACCTCCACCAAACCTTCACATTTCACACCATTTTGTCAATGGTGGTGTGCTATTTCATACCTATAAATAGACTTGTTATTTCATTCATTCAAATCATCCTTGAGAGTGATCAATCAACCTTGAGAGTGTTGAAACACAACCAAGAAAGAGTTGTGGAGTGTTTGAGAGTTTTTTGTTTAGAGTTTGTAAATCTCTTGTTTTTATTCTTGTGAGTAATAAAAACTTATTTTTCTCTCAAATTATGTTTTTGATCTTGGGATGATACCACAACAGTTCAATGGGACAACTGATGAAGGTTCGTCAAGCCATGAAGCCACAAAATATTATAGACTTCATTAAATTCATCCAGATGGAGGCGACAATTTATATAAAAAGCTCCAATAAATCATATTCAAACTCTCCTTGATATTAGCCTACACTATCTATAAAACTCCTCGATATAAGAAAAAACTTTCTAATCTCGAATTCATATGCTATTTGATAATAGCTCAAGCTATCTACAATGCTGTAAAAAATCATATTCAATGGTGAAAATTCAAAAATCTTATCTCATAAAGCAGAGTTTTGAGTTCAAGAGCTCTAAGTAACTCTTTTGAAAATTTAAATATGTTCTTGAAGATTCATATGTGACTCTTCCGAAAGTCCAAAGGTGTTCTTGAAAATTCAAAGATATTCAAGTCGAAGATCAACGATCGATTTGCCATCAAGCCTCCAAAGTACATTCTATAAAAAAAAGGTCAATAATAAGAAAAATAGGTGGAAATTCTTCTAAAAAAAAAAGGCGGCATCCGCTCCTTTCAAATCAATCCAAACATATCAATGACGTTCAAATGACATTTAATTGTGTTTGTTTAAAAGTTCAACCAATATAGCATTTTATCTGAAAAAAAAGAAAAAAAATCAGACATCGAGTCAACGTTATTCAAGTCAAAATCCATCTTCCAGGAAGATCGAAGATTCAGCTCTCCAAGAAGTCATCTCCAATCAAATCTAACCGATAAATCGTTTAATTTGGGATCAAGTCATTCGACCCTTCAATTAACGTTAGGCAATTAAACCTCAAGCATGAATGAGATCCAATCGTCAAATCCAACTACAAAGATCTCACATTCAAATCGAAGAAGAGCAGTTCTCATATGATATATATATATATGTATATATATAAAGATTGTACTCACAATACCGTTTGATCGAAATACAATCTAGTTGCATGAATGTTTTATGTTTTCTCATCAAATTTACTGTTACAGTAATAAGTCAGATATTAGCCCGTCATATTTTCTCAATATATATACATATTTTTAAATTCAAATGATATTTTAAAAAATAAAATAAATAAATGTGAGCCATTTTATAGCATAAATTTATAACTTCATTAAAAATATATAAAAAAAAAACCCAAGAATTTGTGTTTACGGATGGCCGGGATAACAAAGGTTTAAGTAATTCAGTTATGGCGGGACAAAACATAAGTAAAGGTGCCGTAATTGTAGGACAAAACATAATTAGTTAAGAACGCATTTTACCAATTGCCCGTGCCAAAACATACTAACGTGGTCACCGTTCATATCAACCTTTTGAATTTTTTTTTTTTTAATAAAGTTACTTACCCGACAACTCGGTGCTATAATTTTAAAATTGCTCTTATAATCACTGTTCTAAAAGTCGGTTTAGGCGGCCGCCTAGGCGGCACCTAGGCGCTAGGCGGTGCCCGGGCGCCTCCGATTTGCACAAATCGGCCAAAAAAATCGGCCAAACGGCTAGGCGGCGCCTAGGCGGCCCTAGGCGCTCCTAGGCGGCCTTGGCAGGCTCAGCGGTCAGGCAGTTAGGCGGCGCCTAGGGCGTAGGCGGACCTAGGCGCTCCTAGGCGGCCTCGGCGGTAATTTTTCAGTTTTTTTTATTATTTTTTAAATACTAATTACATTATTTTGTTCTCATGTTTTCTTTAAAATATATTAATATTATTATTTGGACTTAGGTGTGTCGATTTATTATAAGTAGATATAGTTTTATTTTGTAAGTAGTTAAATAAATAAAAAATAAGGTATTTAATATTGATTTCTAGGCCCCGACTAGGCCCCGCCTAGGCGCTAGCCGCTAGTCGAGCGCCTAGCGGGCGCCTAGCGACT